ACTTATTGAACAAAAAAATATAAAACAGAAGTTAGCATCCAGGACGGTGCAAAATTTATACATCCACCCCGGGAATTTCGCAGTCTCAGACAAGGCTATTAATGTAGAATTAATAGAGGAGTTTGCAGAGCGTTTCTGGGTTTTGTTTTCATTAAAGTCAATTTAGAAAATAGTCTCCTCTCATCTGCATTGGATGTTGGAAGAGACAATACCGTCCTTAAGTTCCCTAGTTTCCTTTTACTTCTTTATTTTTATCCTCTTCTTCGCCACTGATCGGCTTGTTAGCTGCCAAAGGATCGGTCACGTCCCTGTCACACTGTTGGCAACACTGGGCATGCACCGGCTCCTGAAACGTACCCGAACCTGCTCCAGTGTTGGTCAAGTCTTCTCTCTTGAAAGAGCTCTCACACTGCGTCGCTACCACCTCTGTAGATTGTTCCAAGAGCTACAAACCACCCAAAAGTTTGCCTCACGGTTTTCTGACTTGCGGCTTCTTCAATCTTGAGCTGTGACTCTTGTGGGCGAAGGATCGTCAGGCTCCAAGTAAGGACACTCAAATGAGTAGTGCCCCTGGGATGCCAGAGTACACCTCAACTAGTCCCCTTGCCTCAATTCTTGGGTAGTATAAAACGTCCACTATGTCACTGCTGTCCTTAATCTCAGGTGGTATAGTGTGGGGAAATAGGTTGTTTGGTCCCACACCAGGATGGGATGGAGAAAGGAAACTCACAATGTGCCTTCGTATAGACAAGTTATTGATGTACAATGCAGCTTGGTGCTGAAGGCAGCATGGTTATGCTGCGATGTAGAGAGGAGCTGGTTGGTGAGGGTAATTTGAGAAGACCAGCTAGGGCCATGCTCGCTTTATGGGAGATGAGGTTGCCAGGCAAAGCGGCGGAGGAGGAGTAGGAGGTGTTGCTTGCTGGTTGGTGTAGGAGAAAAGAGTGAGGTCACCATGAGGCCGTGTCTTAAATAGCGGAGTGTAGGCGTGGCTTAGTAGTTGACCTCCGTCATGTAAGGCGCACATGACCTAGACCACGCAGAGGCATACACTGGGGAATTCGGTGATCGGCTACTCAGCGACAAACAGCGTTTGTAGGGAGGAAATCTACTACAATAGCAATTGCATCTAAGTCTCCAAGACGTCTATAATTTACATGCTACTGTATATGCGGAGTACCGCTTCACAAATTATTGCACCAGGATGGCATCTCCTTCCTGATTTATTATCAAATAATTCTATTTGATGACAGAAATTAAAAAATCCATAAAACTTACTGCCAAACCTCAAATTGACGTACCATATTACAAAGGTTTATCATGAAGATACGACACCTAAATTGTACATCCTGACCATATTAGGAGTTCTCTATATTGTTCACTTTGCAGCAGGCCATGTATTGTTTCTCCAAAGCATATTTGGCCTGTTGGGGAGGTGATTTTCTTCATTTCTTGGATCAACTGCATCAAGATTACCCGTTTGAAAACTCTATGACGACAAAAAATATCCCAAAAGATTCCTGTAAAGCTGATATATACTGTCGTAACGAATGTATAGTTGGTGACTCTTCAGCCAGTAGGATTTAACTTGTTACATTTGGGCAATATGAAATTAAGGAAAAATTGTAGTACAACAACAGTGGGCGTCCGGCGATCTTCTGCTATTTGCCGTACGCCGTACCAATCTTTCCTCTGATACTTCTAAAAGTAAAAAACATATTTAGGGGCTGCCATCACCTAATACTCTTTCTTCAACCGCTTGCTGAATGATAACCAACGATCTGATTAATACGCTGAACTTTGTGTGGTTTGACAGTGCAGTGGATTCCCATACAACCGCCGTTTGTCGCTGAGTAGCCGACCTCCCTCGAATTCCCAGTGTATTCCTCGTGGTCAAGGTCGGCAAATCAGCACCGCCTAACAATGACTGAGGTCAACTATTAAGCCACGCCCACTTCTATAAGACCTCACCCTCGTGGTGACCTCTCTCTACCCACAGCCACCAGCAAGCAATACCTCCTCCGCTCCTGCCCGGCGGCCCTCAACAGCCGGCGAGCATGGCGACCTGCTGCCGGTCCTCCTCTGAGCACCCTTTCACCAACCAGCTCTCCCCACTCAACGCTTTCTGTAACCATGCTGCTTTCCCAGCACTAAGCTGCAACAGGCATCCATGGGTTATGTATAGAGAGCACATTGTGAGTTTCCTTTCATCCCACCCTGAGTGTGAACAAATTACACATAACCCCACAACAGTACAGAATGATTTAAATTCCTTAAATTCATGTTGTCGTTCACACTATGGGAAAAATAGGTATGTATATATATATATATATATATATATATATATATATATATATATATATATATATATATATATATATATATATATTTCTATGTATATATATATATATATATATATATATATATATATATATATATATGTATATATATATATATATATATATATATATATATATATATATTTCATGTAAATTCACAATGAAAAATGTGGATATGATA